TTAGAGCATCACCCTGATACACCAAGGCCCCGGGCAGGTTCAGTCCCTGGTCAGGGCACATACAAGAGTCAGCCAGTGGGGGAGGGGGTGGGTGGAGGTGGAAGAGGGCATAGAGGGGATAAATGATGATGGAGAAAGAAGAAAGAATCAACCGATGCTTGCATACGTAAGTGAAACGGCACATCAATGTTTCTCCTTTCCTCTCTCTTTTAAACCAATCAATTAGCCCAACCGGTGTGGCTCAGTGGTTGAGCTTAGGAACTAAGAGGTCATGATTCGATTCCAGGTCAGGGCACATGCCTGAGTTTTGAGCTTGACTCCCTGTAGGGGGCATGCAGGAGGAAGCTGATGGTTGATGTTTCTATCTCTCTATGCCTCTCCCTTCCCCTCTCTCTCTCTCTCTCTCTCTCTCTCTCTCAAATCAATAAAAACATATTATATTAGAAAAACACACACACACACCAAAGGTAAAGTTCAAATGCCACCGCCGTTTATTTCTGCGCCTTTTTCCGTGGCCTCGTTCCCTGCCACCCTTCGCCGCCTCCCGCGATCGGATGTGGAGCCTGTGCCCAGACTCAGAGAAAGACCCTCTGAGGGGCCCATGGCTCCAGGCCTCTGCTGCCCAAGGTCATGTTGATCTGCTTGAACGAAAGCCGCCCATGCAGTGAGACTGACTCCCGACACCCCTTTCGCCCTAATACCGGATTGCGTTTCAGAGCAGTTGTCCTGCTCTCCTCCTGGCCATTTCCCACCAGGGCTGGGACGGCTCGGTCCCTGTCCTTGGACCCGCTCTGACAGTGAAATGTGATCCATAGAAGTCCTCTCAGGGGTGCCCAGCCGGCTGCTGCCTGCTCTTCGTGCCTGTCCACATCCCTCCTGCAGGGGCTGGGGCGCTCTCCTCCGGGCAAGGGCCACAGTCTGACCCGACTGGCCGTTCCCCTCCCCTACCCCCAGCTCAGTGTGCACAGCCAGCTGCTGCCAGTGCTTGCAGCTAAGCATCCTGGGCTGGGATGTGGGCTGGGAAGCTAAACCAGGAGCACTGGACAGGGTGACAGGAGACCTGGCTTCAGCACTCGGTCTGGCTGCTGAGGAGCTGGCTGTGTGGCCATGGGGCTCTCTCCTCACTTCTCTAGAGCTGTTTTCTCTCCCATATAATAATAACAAGTGTCTACTATGGGCCAGGGACTGTATATGTTGTATATTAACTCCTTTGCTCCTCCCAATAGTCTATAAGGCGGATACAGGGGTCCTTAAATAAATAAGGATAAACGAGGGAACTCAGAGAGACTGAAGTAACTTGTTCAAGGTCATTAGCTAGTAAGTGATAGTTGACCCCAGAACTTACACTTTTAACTGCTACACATGCTGCCTCTGTCGGGATAGGAAAAAGTGTATTGGCTAGCTAATGCTGCGTAACAAATTACCATGCCATTTAGTGGTACAAAGCAACCACCATGATGACGTATAGTTTCTATGGGTCAGGAGTCAGGGAGTGGCTGAACTTGGGGTACTGGCTTGGAGTGCCTCATGAGGCTGCAGCCATGATGTCGGCCGGGGTTGTGGTCATCTGAAGGCCGGGCTAGGGCTGGAGGGTCTGCTTCGTAGACGGTGCCCTCAGACGGAGCTGGTTGGTGGCTGGAGGCCTCGGTTCCTCAGCACGTGGACTCTCCACAGGCTGTTGGAGCAGCCTCAGGGCGTGGTTGTGGGTTTTCCCCTGGGAGCGTGTTCCGGGAGAGGACAAGGCAGAACTGAAACACAGTGACTAAGCCATGGAACACGCACGCTGTTGTTTCCACACTATCTTGTTGGTGACAGATCAGCCGTATTCATGAAGGGAACTCCAGGAGGTGGGATCGTAGAGGCCACCTTGGAGGCTGGCCATCACAGGTGGTAGCAGAGAGCCACTAACAGGTAGTTGGGAGGGTCAAGTCAAAGGAGAGATGGAAGCATGCTGTAGGCATCTGCTAGAGCTACTGCACCACAAAACGGGGGGCTTATAGCCACAGAAACGGATTCTCTCACCATTCTGGAGGCTGGAAGTGGGCGGCAACAAACTACCACAAACTCCGTGGCTTACGTGGCCAGACATTTATTCTCTCGCAGTTCAGGAGGCCACAAGTCCAAAGTCAAGGTGTCAGCAGGGTCACGCTCCCTCTGAAAGTTCAAGGGGAGAATCCTTCCTTGCTTTTTATAGCTTCTGGTAGCTCCAGGCATTCCTGGGCTTGTGGCCTCCTATCACTCCATCTCTGCCTTCCACTGGGCTTGGCACTTTTCTCTGTGTCTTCTTTTCTGTCTCTTATAAGGACACTTGTCATTGGATATAGGGCCCACCTTAATCCAAGGTGATCTCCTCTCAAAACCCTTACCTTAATTACATCTGCAGAAACCCTGATAGCAAATAAGGTCACATTCTGGGATTCCAGGTGAGCGTATCTTTTCTTAGGGGGTGGGGAAGAGAAGCAACATTTAACCCACCAAACCTCCCAGCCAACTCTGTTCCAGTGACCTATTGCTGTACAATAAATGAGCCCAAAACTTAATGATCTCAAACAGCAATCGCTGGTTTCTTTGAGTGAGGAATTTGGGGAGGGCTTGGCTGGCTGGTTCTGGCTTCCAATCTGTCATACCGTTGCAATCAGACCGTGGATGGTGCTGGAACAGTCCGGGGCTGAGGCAGCTAGGACTAGGCAAACATCGTTCTCTCTTCCTGTGGTCTCAGGACCTCTCTGTGTGGCCTCCCCACCTGGCTAGTTGGGCTTCCTCACAGCATGGCAGCCTGGGGGAGGTCGGACCACTTCCTGGAGAGCAAGGCATTCAGAATCACTGAGGGTCACCTCCACGGTGCTCTGCCATTCAGGACAGCCTCCAAGGCCCTCCCTTCCCCCCAGAGGCATGACAGCTCTCAGCAGCAGCGCATCTCCCTTTACAGATGCGGACACTGAGGCTCAGCAAGGGAAGTAACTGCCAAGTTACGCGAGCTCAGTGCAGAGCCACACCTGAACCCAGGAAGGTGACTTCAGGGCCCGTAACGACAGCATGTACTTGGCACCTATGGATGCTTTCTCGTCTCCAATGATCTGTTTCTTCAACCTGGGAAAATGGACCTGATCAAGTCCCAGGCTGCTGTCCAGGATGGTTTGGGGACAATAGGGATGGTGTGAGCGTGAAGGAGGCCTGTAGACGGGTCACCAGGTGCCCTGGCTTCCAGCCCTGGCTCGGCCACGCCTGTTGGTGTGGTCCCGGGCAGTTTCCTGTTCTGTAACAGAAGGAGCCATGCCTGCCTCGCTGCCTTTCATGGTTGTCACGGGTGACAGGAGGTTCAATACGTTGGAGTGCTTGCTAAGCTGCTTAATGCTGGTCAAATAAAAGGCATCGCATGTCCCTTTGAGTTGCTCAGAGTGCCAGGAGCATCTGGCTGCTTGGCAGATGTTGGTTGATTTTCATTGAAAGGTTTCCTACCAACCCCAGAAGGAGCAGCAGGTCCGGCAACTTTGCTCTGCAACCAAGGATGGTTACCCAGGAGACCATGCGGTCGAGTCATCAATGAGGGACTGTGCACTTTGGAGCTTGCGGGTCCTTGTAGCCCCAGAGTAGCCCAGTGAGTAAGACTGGGGAAGAGATGAATCTTCCAGAGGATTCGTGTCACTGAGGGCTGTGTAAACAAAGGACCCCAAATTCAGTGCTTAACCTGGTGATTCATTTTTATCTGTCGCGGTTGTGTAGGTTGACAGGGCTCAGCTGACCAGTTCTTCCTCAGCGAATGGGGCGGGGTCTCTATACATTTGCAATCGGAGAGCAGCTGGGTCTGTGGTCATCTGAAGGCCCGACTGGGCTGGGTGTCCCAGATGGCAGCTCAGGGCTCTTCCACGCGGCCTCTCTCTCCAGCAGTGTGGCCCCAGCTTCTTAAGTGGCAGCTTTTGACTCCAACGGTCGGTAGAAATGGCCAGTCTCTCAAGGGCTGGGTGCAGATAAGGGTGGCATCACTTTGGCCATATTCTGTTGGTCAAAAAGTCACAAAGCTGCCAGATACTGGGATGTGGAGGAATGGACTCAACCTCTCAGTGGGGGCCTGGGGTGTCCACCCACAATCTCCAAAGAATCTTTGTACCCATAACAGTCAGCTTTCCCGGTAGAGACTGGCAGGTGTACAAGAGACAGGCCCCCGGCTGAGCGCATGGTGGCTCAGGTAGCTGAACTCTTCCTCTCCAGAAGGGAGAACAGTCATTCCAGCGGGCTGCCTCCCTGCCCTGTCTTCTGTCTGTGGAGTTTCCCAAGCTTCCTCGCCCACTCCCATTCTGCCCTTCTTGTGCATCTTGTCGATTTACTCTTCTCGCTCCCTTTTGACAAAAGCAAATCTGTGTGCCCTGGGGCACGTGATGGCTTCTTTGAGCCTCGGTTTCCCCCCCTGTAACATGGGGTACCTCCCAGGGTTCCTCTGAGTATCCTATACGGTTTAACTTAGCAGGTCCTAGCACGGGTCTGACACAGGGGAGGGGCCGGGTGAGTAAACCAACAGTCCAGTCACAGGTCTGGTCTTGCCCACGTCTATCAGGTCTTGTGTTAAATGCTTTCCATAGGTTATCTGGTCGAAACCTTCGGGCTCCAGGAACTGAGTACTATTTTTATCTCCGTTTCGTAAAACAAGGAAACTGAAGCTCGGGGAGGTTATGGAACTTGCTCAAGGTCCTTAAGTTAGTAAGTGGCAGCAGCTCTTGAACCTTGAGGTGTTTCCCACTGTAGCCCCTTCTTTAGCCCCAGGTGATGTGAGAATAAAAACATCTCTGCTCTTGGCCCCTCCCCAGGCTTCCAGACTGTTCTCTAGACTCACATACCCTCTGGGAGGCAGCTGGTTCCTTGTTCCTCTCTAAGTGGCTGCAAACATGTGCTCACTGGGGAGGTATCTGTTCGGGTTTAAATACACTGGCCGGAGGTGGAGGGACTGGCCGGGGTGGGGCGCGGGTGCTCCGTTCAAGCAAACATCTGCTTCTTTTCCCCCATAGAAACTCTCCTCCTCTCTGCGGTGGTGGACAGACAGGCTATGGGGGAACCTGGATGGCTACAGCGGGTCCGTGGGAGTTTAGCGAGGACGGCCAATTCTCAGGGATGCTCAGGCCTGCCCTGGCAGGGCCAGCAAACTACGCTCAAAACCTGGCCCACCGATTGTTTTGATAAATAAAGTTTTATTAGAACACAGCCACGTCCACTTGTTGACTATTGCCTGTCTGCTTTCATGCCACAAGGGCAGAGTGGAGTAGCTGTGACGGAGCCCACAGGCAAGAGGTTGAATAGCTTTGCTGTCTGGCCCTTCACAGAAACTGCTGGCCCTGCATGAGAGGCCTCGCTCAGGCTGGTCTCTGCCAGCTGATTCCGCCCGGGCTGACACAGGAGGGAAGAGGGTTGCGCTTTGAGTAAGAGACGACTGTTGGAGGGGCTGTGTTGGTGTCTCTTCCAACCAGGCGGCTGGACTTGTTCACGTTGAGGCCGGGTTGGGGTCGGAAGTGGTGCTGGCTCAGGGCCTGGGGTTCGTGACGGCCGCCCTGAGTCACTGGCCGAGAGCACCTGCAGCCCCAGCAGGGAACACTGCTTCCCTCTGCCCCCCAGGTGCCCAGGTCCCTGGCGGCTCAGGAGGACAGGATGGAACCTGCTCCCCGTACTTGAGGAATCCCCTGCACACACCCAACGGTGCCTGCGGAGCCGGCAGGAGGGGGATCCCTGAGAGCCAGTGTGCCGCGAGCTCACCTGCCTCAGTGACTTGGTGTCCATGGTTAGCTGGGGGTGGGGGCCCTGCCGCCCCTGCCTCTCTCCCCCCACGGACACGTCCTGGGGACCTGCCTCTGTCTCTGCCCGTCAGTGGGACATCCCCTAATGGGAGCAACAGGGGTCTCCTTATGTGGTCCCTTTCTTTGCTCCTGGGTCTCCTGGGTTCTCCATGGACGGCACCCCAGCCTCTTTCCCTGACCTGGGAGGTGCTGGGAGGGCTGGTCCTGGGCAGACTCCAGCCGCACTGGGGAGATCCGCTCCACACCCACGTGCGAGGAGCTCCAACAGCAAACAAAGAAGCACCAAGCACACGGCCCCCTTCCTCCTGGCGGTGGCAAGGGTGTGCCAGCCCCGCTGTGCCCTTGGGCACTGGATACAGTTGGCCCAGGCTGGCCTCAGCACCCGCTGAGCCATCGGCACCCCCAGCTGCACGCCGGCTCCTTGGGAGGGTGGCCTCGGCGCCCACCCCATCCCTCTGCTGGGCGGCTCTCCCGGTGATGGATTGTCCTCCCGAAGATTGATTTTTCATTTTATTTTATTTTTATTTTTTCCCAATGATTGATTTTTTAAAATGTGCTCTGTGCTGACTCCATTCTGTTCTGCAGAGTCCCTGCCTCCCAACGCCGTGGCTCCGGCCTGCGGCCTGGTCTGCCAGGTAGCCAGGGAGACACATATGTCACAGGCCTGGGGGCTTGGAGGAAGGAGGGAGGAGCCATGGTCACAGCCAATGTGGAGTCCGCCTTCTCTTCCCCCGCCTCTCCTGGAACCCAGGTCCCCATGCGCGCTGATCTCACGGCCACACGCAGACTAAGGGTGTCCTCACTGGGCCAAGTGGCCTACACGCAGGCGTGGGAGAGGGGCCTGCAGCTTAGCAGGGCTGGACGCTTCTTAAAGGCCACAAAAGACACTGTTCCATTAACACATGCGGTCACGGGGAACAGTCACAATTTTTTTTAAAAAATCACAAAAGGAATTCATTCTTATTAAAAATTTTGAAACAGCTGGGCCAGTGTGGCTCAGTGGTTGAGCATCCACCTAAGAACTAGGAGGTCACGGTTCGATCCCCGGTCAGGGCACATACCTGGGGTTGTGGGCTTGATCCCTAGTGGGGGGCATGCGGGAGGCAGCCGATCCATGATTCTCTCTCCTCATTGATGTTTCTCTCTCTCTCTCCCTCTCTGAAATCAATAAAATATATATGTATCTGTAATTATTATAATTATTTTGTAAAGGCACTTTGGGCTGTAAAGCCACCGAGACAGGCTGGCCGGGAGTCGGCTGAGGATCCTGGGAGAACGTGGGGCAGGACCACAGCTGGCTCTCTAAAGACTCTGGCACCCCAAAACCCTGACAACACGACCTCCCGCCTCCAGACCACAGCCTGAGAGAGAAAGAAACTTTTATCTTATATATATATAAAAAAAAGAATGCTATGTGGGGGAAGGCTTAGTATTCAAACCTATTTAGTAGGAAAGGAAAGAGGAAAAACGGTCAATTATTCACCTTTCCCCTCTGTTGTCTGTGTCCGGTTGGTTGTCATTTCCAAGGAAAACCTGTCTGGGGCTTTTAGCGGAGTAGGAGTAGCGGGGAGGGCGGGGAGGGGCAGAGGGGCTCCTGCTGGGAGAGGCACATACCGTATGTGTCCTTCCTCTGCCGCCCGGCTGGCCTGCATCTCCCTGCAGAGCCTCGGTCTGGTCTCCTCGCTGCCGGCTGCTGGAGCCAGTGCAGAGCGGGAAGGAGAAGCCGCGGGACTGAGAGAAGGAAGGAGAAAGGAATGTCAGAATGAACGCAAACCACTCTTCTTTGGGATCTGAGCACGACCCCTGGGACGCGGGCGCCTTTGGGGGGCAAGTGGGGCTGTAGGAAGCCGGGCCTGGTTGCTCTTCTAGGTCACTGCATCCTTGCTGCTCAGCTCCCTGAATCCCCACAACAGCCCTCTGCTCTGGGTAGAATTATTACTTTTTTTTAAAGGGTTGGGACATGAGATAAATATATTTTTATTGATTTCAGAGAGGAAGGAAGAGGGAGAGAGATAGAAACAGCAACGATGGGAGAGAATCATTGATGGCTGCCTCTTACACGCCCCCCTCCCCCAGCCCCCCACTGGGGATCAAGCCCGCAACCCAGGCATGTGCCCTGACCAGGAATGGAACCGTGACCTCCTGGTTTATAGGTCGACACTCAACCACTGAGCCACGCCGGCTGGGCTATTATTACTCTTGCTTTATAGGCAAAGTGACCGAGTCGGCCCAAGAAGCAACTTCCCCAAAGTCACCCAGGTAGGATGTAGCTGACCCAGAACTTGATGCCAGTGCCTGAACCCATGTGCCCTGCGGCCTGGATCCTGCTGTCGGTGGAAATGAGGACCTCCGTGACCCCCAGGACTCTCCAGCCACAGGGTGAGGCAGCAAAACCGGGATGCAAATCCTGGCTCGGCCACGTGCTGTGTGACCTCCCAGCAATGACCCCACCTTCTGGGCCTCCATTTCCTTATCTGATGAAGGGGGTCTGTCCTGAGGATTGGATGCGGCGACACAAACGAAGCGCTTTGCAGAAGATGACAAGGCAAAAAGGTGCCTAGTGAACAGGCTTGCTCCTGGGTGACCGATGAGACCAACGCTCGGGTCTCCAGGGAGCACCTTCAGCCCTCACCACAGGCAAGCACGCGGACTGTTTTCCTTTTCCCCTTCCCCCCAGATGGGAGCGTGCAGGCCCATTCATTCGGGGAGAACTGAAACCAGCCGGCCGCACAGCTGCTCCGCTCCTGCTTTGCATGTTCTTTTGTTTTTCCACTTCTCGGCGTGTCTGGGGGCTGTTTCCACGGCCATACCTCTCTGGTCCTGATTCCCTGTTCCTGCCACTGGCCGTCCGGTAAACGTGGCGTCAGTCCCCGACGGCGGGCGCCCACATGGCCTCGCCAATCTCAGAAGCAATGCCACCCAGGTCATTTCACAAAAGTGCCCGCACAGCTGGCTGGGACTTCCTAGAAGTGGAGCTGCTGGGTGGAAGAATTTGTGCATTTAGCAGATATTGCCAAATGGCCCTCGCGGAGGCCGTGCGGGTTCGCGATCCTGCTTGCAAAGCACGACAGGGCTTCCTTGCCCCACCCTTGCCGGCGTAAGCAGTTGTCAAACCTTTGATTCTTGCCAATCTGCTCGGTGGAAAATGCATCTGAGTGGACTTTTCTTTTAAAAAATATTTTTATTGATTTCAGAGAGGAAGGGAGAGGGAGAGATAGAAACATCAATGACGAGAGAGAATCATTGATCGGCTGCCTCCTGCACACCCCTACTGGGGATCAAGCCCACAACCCGGGCATGTGCCCTTGACCAGAATCGAATCCGGAACCCTTCAGTCCAGGCAGGCCGATGCCCTGTCCACTGAGCCAAACCAGCTAGGGCTGGGTACACTTTTCATCTGACTTCTCTTATTCTGGGTGAGGTGGAGCATTTGTGCCCAGCCCCATGACTAACCTGTTTCTGTCTGTACACAGACGAGAGCCGTGACCTTGCCCGCTACCCCCTCTGCGAGATCCAGGTCTAGATCTGTGTCTCTCTCCGCCAGCTTCTTGCTGAGTCACCCGCAGGAAGGAAAGGGCAGCAGGCTCGGGTTAGCTCTGCCCGGGGGCCATCCGAGCTGCCAGTCCTGGGGAGACCTTGGTCTCTGGCATTTCCTGTGGGCACCCAGCACCGCGGACACTGGGTCACCGCACCTGTCAGACCCAGGGAAATGGGGGCTTGCAAGAAGGGATCGGGCCAGACTGGTTTGCAAACGAGGCGTGGAAAGGACTCGGCTGCATTTGGAGCGCGAACACTTGCAAGGAACTAATGAGCAAAGTCATTGATAAGTGACAACGAGAGGAAGCAGGCCCTGCTCAGAGGCCGGAGGGTTTAAGCTGTTGGAAGGCACTTGGTCTGGGAGGGGAGTGAGCCACCGTGAAGGGGCTGGGGCAGTTGGGCAAGGATTCGCCGCGGAAATACCTAAATGCGTCTTGCACGAGCTGCACCCCTCCTGGCTCCTCACTCATCTGGTTAGTGCTGAGAGCAGCCCCCATAGCAATAGAGACGCCCCTTAGCTGCCCAGGGAGGATTCAGGCCACTCGCACGACCAGCGAGAGGTATGGAGCGGCCCAGTGACCCTCGCCGACCTCTCTGAGTGGGGTCGCGGCATCTGGAGCAGCGGTCGCCAACCGGTGGTCCGTGGACCCCTGGTGGTCCGTGAGGTCCGAAAGGTTGGCGACTGCTGAGGGGGCAGCCGGTCAGGCCGTTGTCATTTGACCTCAGTGCTGCCCTGTGCATCTGGCTGCGTCTTGCTCCGGGAGAGAAATCAGGAGCCAGTGGCTGGATTCCTGGGCCCTGGGGAGTCTGCGCTGTTATTTCCAGACTCAAACAAAAAAGCAAATTTGCCCTGGAAATTGCTGAGGCAGAGTCATC